CTTTCCTTTTTGTTAACCGAGATACTAAAAAATAAATAAAACGAACTTTTAAACAAAATATTATTGTAAATTTAAGGTGAATCGTGTAATTTCTTAAAAAAATTGAAAAAAAAACTAAAAATTAAGCAGAAAGTTCACTGTTCATGTAAACAATTGCCGACTTTATATATTTTTAGTTTTTGTTAATTAACTAGTTCACAAACCCTGCTCTACTGCATATTAGATGACAAAAAAAAAAACGTAGTAAAAAACATCTAATTTTTAATGAAACCCATGTAAAACCATGGGGTGTTAAGAATATAATTAAAGTAAAATACAATTTCAACAAGTTTCCTTACATTACCAAACGATCTCTTAGTTTTCTTTCCACGAGGTCTCGATTTTCAACCTTCAACCTTCACGTGTATTAGAAAATTATATATAGTGTTGTGGTGGCACAAGTTTTACACTTGGTAAGTTGTGTGTCTCATATCTCACAGCAAAAACTTATTCCAAATCACAAATAAATTAAATGAAGTGTGAATAATAATGCTTATTGTTGAACACTTATTCCAATTTTTTCATCCTAAAATTGATAGATTAGACTTTTTATCTTTGAACTTAATAAGGGGGCTAACGGGTCTAGCACATCTCTATCTACCCTTTGGAAATACTGCCGATTGGATGCACATGTTTTATAAGTCAAGAAGGGTTTCCAAGAGACAACGGCCCTATCACAAAAGAGGAGCAGATGGCAGGAATTTCTTTTTTTTTTTTGTGTGTGTGTGTGTGTGAGAGAGAGAGAGATAGATAGATAGAGAGATTTATTTATTTATTTATTTATTTTCTTCTCCCTGTTTTCCTTTTCTTAAAACATTACATGGATCTCTGATGCTGCCACAATACAAGTATTAATGTTCACGAGAAACGTTAAATTATCATGTCATGTCAACAAGTTTATTGGAAATGATAATTTAACCAGGCTAGTGGCTGCTATCTACGAAGGATGAGTAAAATAATTGAATTATACAGGATATTCGTACAAACAAATGTCTAAATTTAACTGGAAAAACCAGCCAAAGAAAACAAACCGAAAAACTAGTTAATTTCTTTTAAAATAAATTGTTCTATTTTATTTACTATTTTATATTTAAAAAAACAAATCGAGAAATCAAAGAAAAAAAAAACCAAAACTATATATAACCAAACCAAGTCAAATATTTTTTTTTTATCTACAAAAACATAGTTATTATAAAAATAGTCCAACTTTTTTTTGCCCATTTGTACCTTTTCCCTTTTAATAAAATATAACCACACCACACCAAATCAAACCAAATTACTTGATTTTGTTTTTTATTTGATTTAGTTAAATTAGTTTATTTTTATTTTTAAAAAAGTTTGAATTTTTTTTATTTTTTATTTTAAATTAATATTTTTTGTTATTTTTATATCATTTTGACATATTGATGTCAAAAATAAATTTTTAAAAATAAAAAAATATTATTTTAATATATTTTTGAGTGAAAAATACTTTAAAAAACAACCAACACATTCTTTAATCTAAACTAATTGTTTGTCTAATACTCATCCTTTTCATAAATGAATATATTAACAGATCTATTCAAATAATATATGATAAGTTTGCTAACATACTAGATCCATAGTATTTAGGTCCGGTAATGAATCAAGTTCAAGATAATACAAGTATGACAAACATATCAGATTTTAAAAACTTAGATTTGACAGTCAAATAAACCCAAGGTAACGTGAGTCTGACGAATATATTATACTTAAAGAATTTCTAAAGTAAGATAACATAAGTCTAATAAATATGTCAGGTTCAAAATACTCAACTTGACAATCACCTAATCCCTAGGTAACGTGAGTTTCACGAGTGTGTTAAACCTAAAGAACTTGGGCTTTCAACAGTTAAGTCTAACGTAACATGAGTCTGACAAACATGTCAGACCCAAGAAACTTGAACTTGATGATCAGTTAAGTTTATGGTAACATGGATCGAACAAACATCTGTATTTGTATTCATAGGGTACAAATACTCTATGAATTATTCAGATAAAAGGTTTATAGCTTATTTATCTTTTAAAATAAATATACATAGATTTTAGAGAAAAAACTAATTTAATACTCAAGAACAAACATCTTTATTTTTTAAATTTATAACTTTTTAAAATAATTTATTATTTTAAGTCATTTAATATATTTTTCATAAATATATTAATTTTATCGTTGAAAAAGTTTTTAAATCTCATTGGAACCTTTTTTTTAGGTATTTAAGCTTTTAACATAAACTTAGAGTTTCTTAAATTAAAAAAAAAACTAAGCAATTAAATACATTAATTAATTACTATCCCAAATACTAAATAATATTTTAACTATATATTTTAAATTTTAAAACATCATTAAAACACAATTTAAATGTGTTAATCAATATTAAGGTTATTGTTATTGTTTTCGCCTCGGATAGATTGATGTATACATGTGCGTGCGTGTGTATATATGAACTACCTACATGGGAGCCTAGATTCATAGATATATGCACCTGTATTTAACCTCGGCTATCGATTGCCATCTATAAATTATTAACATATACCTATTGACAATGTGCTAATCAATGTTAACGTTAATACTATTGTTTTTCTTTTTTTGTATTTTTTTGAGGTGGATTAGAGTTCAAGTGTATCTCTATTTAATGCATTCACATTGTTGAAACAATTTAATGAAATAGAAATTTAGAAAACAACAAAATCTTGTTCTTTTCTCTACATACCAAAATTAAATCTGTCTTCCTCGTCAATTTCGGCTGGAAGAATTCTTCTTCGGGTTAGAGCCACATGTATTTTCTTTTTTATGGAGCTAGCATGTGGTGTATTTTTTCTCAAACACCTTGCCTTTTACAGGATATAAAAAATCAATGACAGATTAAATGGATGTTGTATTCACCAAAAAGTTCTCAGCTATGTGCGCGCGAGCGCGATGCAGAATCTTGAAAATATATAAAATGTTCTTCCGTCTTCTTGAAGTAATTCAAAGATGGCAGCCAAAAATTTCATGCCGACAAGGAAGAGTGGTATTTAAGTAAAATCATTCACGCATTGACTCGTTTCATTAAAATACAACTTTCATGCATCATACCTTATCTTCAAATACATAAACATACAAAAGAAGAAGATGAGTGTACGGAGTTTTAAATTTTCTTCTTTTAGTGTGAAAGCATACATATTCGGGTGTACTTCCATGGGTATCAATTAATTATGGCTGAAAAGAAGGATGACCTTAAATGAAGAAGAAGAAGAAGAAGAAGAAGAAGAAGGAGAAGACTTTGCTCTAGTTTTGTTAATTCAAAATCCATATATCTACATGGATAGCAGGTCTGTTTCGCAGTACGACGAGGAATGATTAAAATTGAGTTTTATCTTAGCTTTTACATTATTAAATCAAAATAATTGAAATGTATAAGAACATTAATTTGATATTTTTTAATATTTTAAAAAAGTATAAATTACTACAGTCTTGGACAGACATTAAATCACGAGAAACGTGTTATCACAAAGGAAATTACGCACCTTCCCACCACTCATGCCCGAGCCTCCTTGCACCACTCATGCCCGAGCCTCTTTGTAGAGATTTGAGTATAGCTAGGATGGACACAAGTTACCTCTTTAGTGGATTTAGCAGAAACTTTTGTCTAGATTAAATTAAATCACATAAGTTCATGAGTTAGGTGTTAAATCACACGGGAAATCAGGAACTTCCCACCACTTATGCCTGAACATCTTTGTAGAGATTTTTTTTTTTCCTTTTCTTTTCTTAGAGAGTTTTTGTTATAGGGATTAGGGAGAAGCCATTGTTCTCCATCAAGGTTTTTTTTTTTTAAATGACCGTTTTATGAACTAGATACTGTAGTTGTCAGGAATTCAAATTCCTTATTAGTCACCTAAATCTTTTGAATCTAGACTTGATCCCGTTGTAAATTAATTATATGCTGTTAATTTCCATCGGGTCCATTCTCGATCCAAATCGAACACTCATAGACCATATTTTAAGCTTGTTTTTTTTTCATTTTAGTGAACAAGAGGCAAATCTCAAGATAATCATGGCATGAGCTTTCTTTTTTGGTGGGTGGAAAATGAATGTATCCCCATAACTATTAACTCAATCCCTTTCGATCTGGTTTGCAATTTCCTTAAATGGTGGAGCTGAAGAACTTCTTGTTTTTAATTCATTTTTAGTAATGATTAATTAGGTTAACTATAGTGAAAGATAAGGCAGGCTAATTGGTCAAAGTCCATGGTAATATAGTGGTCATGAGCTAGCGGGGGGGGCCAGTGTTTGATCTGGACTGGAGCTATCGCGTCAGCTCAAGTGGAAGAAGGCAGAAATTTGGATTCCGAGACTCTAAATTTCAGAATTTCAGCATTTCATTTGCACCGACGCATAGAGAGTGCATCACGCAAGTTTAACTTATTTAAGGGTTTATGAATTAATTATTAAAATAATATTTGTTTATTTTTTAATTAAGGAAGTTATCACTCTAGACTTTTGAAGGTTCACTTGATAGGTTTTTTTTTGGTTTTTGAGTTTAAATTCTTAAATTTGTTTAATAAAATGACATATATCCCTAGAAGAAATTAAGAAAATTAAAGGGGCAAATAATTCTTGGCACTTGGACTCCTGGCAATGCCTATCTTTCCTCGTAGTTTCTCATCTTGACGAGTACTACTTCAACAATTTCCAAGAAAATACTTCCCTTTTTCTTCATCTAGTCTTCTCTTACTTCATTGCTGCATTTTGCCCCTTGTCAAGGCCTTAGGTTTCATTTCTATACATCAAGAAAACAACCACCAGGGTAAACTCAGGTGGATTTCATTTTGGGGTGTTTTAATATTAATATTAATATATTAATATATCATGAGAGATTTGGTTTCACCTCATCAATATAAATAAACTTGATTTCAACCTCTGCCACAAATGAAAACAGTCATTGGCAGACCAAGTGTTTAAAAATTCTTCAATTTTATTCTTTAATAATTCTCACAGTGTGCATTGTGAGAAACTATTAAAACACTTGAAATAGTAAACTAACAAAAACTTGAAAATCAACTTTTCGATAGCAGAACTTCATTGACCAAATTGTTCAAGTTTAAAGAAGATGAACCATCAAAACTTGTGGCCTCTTCTGCCATTTTCTTCCATTCCAAGACCTTTTTCTTCACTTTCTTACCCTTTTCACCTGTCAGTATCTCGTTAACAATGTTCTCCACTTCTTCTCTTTTGAATCCATCTCTCAGCTCCAAGCCAATTCCCCATTCGTTGCAACTCTTTCTTGAGTTTGCAAATTGGTCCCCAAAGAATGGCCAACAAATCATCGGCACCCCGGCAGATATGCTTTCTATCATTGAGTTCCACCCACAATGTGTTAGGAATCCTCCTATTGACGGATGGTTAAGGACTTGCTCTTGTGGGCACCAACTTGCTACAAAACCTCTCTCTTTAGTTTCGAAAAGAAATTCCTGTGGTAGAATTGTCGAGTCTCCTTTAATCAAATCTGGCCTAATTATCCACAAGAAGTTGTGCTTGCTATCAGCAAGTCCCCAAGCAAGCTGAACTAGCTCCTCTGCTGTTGTTATTGTCGAGCTACCAAAACTTACATAAATCACCGAACCCGGCTCCTTCGAATCAAGCCATTTAAGGCATTCAGGCTCAGCATTCCATAGATTTCCATCAACAGACTCATAAAAATCATCAGAGATGTGATTCAAAAGCATTTGAGTAGGACCAATGCTATAAACTCGACCAAAAACAGACGAGAGGCTGTTCAACTCTTCACCCTCCAAGCTATCATAGGTATTGAAAATAACTGCCGATGCCTTGGAAACTCTTTCCATATCGCCCTCGCTACTATCTTCCATGTATCCATTTCGATCTTGAACTCGGAGGACACTAAGAAGATCTCTCATTCGTGCTCTTTTCGTTCCTGGAATCCATTCCAACTTTTTGTCCAACATGTCATCAGTTTTTTGGCTTGGTTCTGTGAACAATATATGATTACCAACATGTCATCACTAAAATAACGTTTACATTTATGTTGATTGTTAGTAAAATCCAAAACAAAAAAATAAAAAGTGATGCTAAAGATGAGTTTTTACAGCAATTTTCTCTTCAAATGCCATTTAAATTTTAAGTCAAACAATCAATAGTGAATGTGATCTGGGTCCTAGTAGATGTTTCCTAGACTTAGTTCGATTGCTGTCAGTGGGCCTGGCTCAATTTGATTTGTAATTTTTGGGCTAAAATCTCAAATGTAAATGGGATTTTTTTTGCACCAAGAATTCAGGCCATCGATCGATGAATAAGTTAGATTAGTTAAAATAAAATAGAACAAAAACTTTTTCGGAGTAAAAAATATATAGAAAACACCTTTGAGAAGAGTGACCAGTTGCTTCATTTGATCACGAAAATGTGCAAAGCTCACAACCCCAGTCGCAGCCATATGCCAAACAAACACATTCGGCATTTCAAGTTCTTCAGTGAGTTCCTGAGTGTACGTCAACATAGCATCAGACACCATGCATGTCACAGGAGGATTTGCAGCAGTGTCATTGAGTCTAGCAATGAGGTCTCTCAAGGGACACAAAAGGCTCTTTCCACATGCCTGTCGAAGGGCAAGAAGGTTTAGGGTGGCACTTATGTGGGAATTTGAAGGAGGGTGCTCGATTGGTAAAGTCTCAAAACAGAAGTCAGGCAGACCATCGAGGGCATTAGGGCCTCTGGCATCAAGTATTCCTTTATGGTTAAATTCTGTGTTGACAAAGGTTACATGAAAACCTTTATGGTGAAGGAGCTTTGCTATTTTGAGCATAGGGTTTATGTGCCCTTGCAATGGGAATGGGATACACACCACATGAAGCTTGATAACTTCAGCCATTGCTCTATTTTTCCGTGTCTCTCATCTAATTTCTCCCTCCTTTCTTGTGTTCTTTCTTGCTAACAATGATGTAGAGCAAGAAGAGTATCAAGAATGATTTTTAAAGGGGAATTAAGATAGAAAAACGACGAATTTGAGAATATGAGATTCTTGTACCAACCCTTGTTATTCACTATCTTGTTCTATTTTTTGGATGTTCTTGGTCTTTCTATTTGTTTGAACTTGAGAGAGGAGCATCATCTAATCTAAATTTTTATGATTTGTTTGTAACATGAAAAATAATTCATTAGTTTTTCTTTTGAAGCAAAACTATTACTCCCATTTCACCATGTAATAATTTAAATCAAATTTGATAAATATCAATCCAAAGCCGGATATATATATATATTCGGTGATGGAAAAGATATTAATATTATTAAAATTGATTTAAAAACTTCAATTCAATATGAATAATAAATAATATTTGGATAATAAATAACTAATGATAAAATATAAATATTTAAATTTTTTATTCATTGAATAAAATATAATCATAATAAAAATCCTACCTGTGGTATCAATTGGCATTCCTTTAAAAAAAAAAAAAAACCAATACGCTACCAAAATTTATCATTGACTTGCAAAAGTGTGCCTTGATTCTACCTAGGGTCATTTTGGAGTTTTGGTTGAAAACACAACCACAACGTTGTTTCATAGGGAGCAATTAAAGAATAACATTTTAGATTATATTTAGTAATGTGGTAACTTATGATTACTATTGTGGTCTAAAAAAAATTATTTTATAAAAATTATTTTTAATTAAATTTAATTTAAAAAAAAATATATATTTAGTTAAAACTATAATTGAAATTGAGGTTAAACAAAAAATATTTTAATATATTTGATTAAGAATGCTTTTGAAATTAAGGTTTTAAAATAACTAAAAAAATATATATTAATATTGATGATTTTTAATTGAAATATTATATATTTAACTACCGCTATTACATCATGAAATAAATAATACTTTACATAAAATATTTTTTATTGTTCCATTAAACTATTTGCAATTCTATTATGTAGGAAATCCATTCGAAAAGAACTACAGTTTACATTGCTTCCTGAGTGTACAATAATATCAGGTAAAATATCATTAGAAATAAAATTAGATTGTGATCAAATTCTGCAAATACTACGTTATCATGCTATCTCCTTCTAATATAATTATATAGTCATTGAATAGTGTTAAAATACTAGTTTTCTAAATAAAACATAATATCTAAGAATTTTTTTTGGATTTTTTTATTTTGTTGGGTCAGACCTAGACATCAGACATTTAGATTTGGGTCAAACTCGGTCCGGCCATGAACAGTGGAGATGCTCTCCACTGTTCACATGTAACGTGAACAGTGGAGTATGCAGAATACAAAGGTGAAAGGGAAAGGGAAAGGGAAGAGAAAGAGCAATGGCTCACAATGAAAACGACGAAGGCAGTGGTGAGCTGAGGGAGATGCTCTCCATTGTGCTGAATTGTGCTATGTTTCTATTTTTCTTCGAATAGTGGAAAATGCAGAAGACATAGGAGAAGGGGAAGAGGAAGAATAGTGGCTAGTGGTGTAAACGACAGAGATTGGTGGTGAGTTGCTCTTCATTGTTCACATGCAACATGAACAATGGAGAATGCAGAAGATGAAAAAAAAGGGAAAAGGGAAAAAGAAAGAGTAGTGGTTGGCAATAAAAACGACAGGTTGGTGGTGAGTTGCTCTTCATTATTCACATGCAACATAAACAATGAAGAATGCAGAGGGAAAGGAAAAGAGAAAGAGTAGTGGTTGACAATAAAAACGACGGAGATCGGTGGTGAGCTGAGAGAGCTGCTCTTCACTTTGCTCTGTTGTGCTTTGTTTTTGTTCTTCTTTTTCGATACCTCTGTTTACTGTGTTTATAATACAATTTGCAACTCAGCATAAAAAGCAACTTGAAGTTGCCTTGCAGTTTAACAATAGATACTCATGGATCCCACGAACAGTAATGTGCATTTATACTGTTACCAAACACGTGACAAATATGTTTTTCTATAAATACAGCCACGGCGCCAAACACGCATAATCCTACATCCCTCCCTCATCCTACCTCGCCAAAGTCAACAAACTTGTAGATGATTGTTCATCATTCAAAAAAAAAAAAAATACAGCACTCGAAATGAGGGAAGTAGGTTTTTTTTTTTCCTAAGCAGGACGGTCTTTTATGCTAAGCGTTTCCTCTAAGTTATGCTAGGTCTCTTCTTCCACTGCCTCCTTGAGAGACAGGGAGAGAGGGAGATGGTAGCAGTTCCTAAGCCTCATTTGGTGCGTGTCCCATTGCCATTGCAAACACACATATAATCTCCATGCTAAACCTAGGAAAGCTTCTTCATAACAAAGGTTTCCACGTAACATCTGTCAACAGAGTTTAATCACAACTTGCAGAGCTTTGCATGGGGACCAGCTAATGGAAACCACAACTTCTTGCGGATAACTAGACCAAATTTGATCATGAGGAAATCACCATTCTAGCATAAGAGTTTATGAAGGAAACCAAAGAGAGATGTTTCATAGCAAGTTGTTTCCCACAAGAGCGGGTCCTTAATCACCCATCTGTTGGAGGATTCATGAACCATGGTGGATGGAACTCAGTACTTGAAAGCATCTCTGCTGGAGTACCAATGGTTTGTTGGCCTCTTATGGGACAAACATTTGAGAATTCTTAAAAAGTTGCCATGAATGGGGTGTTGGCATGGAGTTGAGTCATGACTTCAACAGTTATGAAGTGGAGAATCTTGTCAAGGAGTTGATGACAAGAGAGAAGGGAAAACAGATGAAGAATAAAGTCGAGGGAGTGGAAGAATATGGCAGAAGAAGCTGCTAGTTCCAGAGTATCATCGTGTCCTCGAACTTAGACAATCTAGTGAATGAAGTCCTGCTATCCAAAAGTTGATTACCCTAACCATATGCATCAATGAAACTGGTTTATCCAGCTGGTAATGTTTGTGTTTCTCTGCATAATTTGCTTTGATCCTCTTGAATAAAGACAATTACTCACTTCTTTCAGGTCAGGAAGATGTAGTAACAAAAAAAGAAAAAGAATTATTGCTTTCCAAATTTGTAACTTTATATTGGGTTTTCAAGGATAACAAAAAATGGTGATAAGAATCAGACATGGAATGTGGAGAACTATTTTGACAGGGTGTGAAGATGCCTTCAACTAAATTGGTTAATATACAAATCTATGTCAAATACAGAAAGGTTCATGCCATCTTATTGGCAAATTTCATTTCCAACAGCACTATACAAGTGTAAAGAACAAACAAATACGTATATGAGATAATTATTGAGGATCCACAGATGATTCACTTATCTGTCCTCATATCTTGAAAATCCATGCGCATGTTACTGTGAGAGTTAACTGGAGAGGTGCTTGTCATGTAGATGCTTTGATGCGATGCCATTAAATTGCGTAGAGCTGACAGGCTGTTCCTGCAGCAGTTAATCCCATAATGCATACTGAGAAAGTTGGGATGAAGAATATAAATCATAACCAATGTGACCTTTTGAAAAGCATACCAAATCTGGCAAGTTACTGAAAGAAGTTTGCATGGTTGGTGATCTGAAGCCCAACTGACCCTGCAACAAAAAATATTGATCCAGCAGATGTTGATTCTACTTAGTAATGCTACAAGTGAAATCAAACCGCTACATAGAACAGAAAAAATTATCAAATTCAATACCAGTCCCTGCATGCTCAGTGGGGCTCCATAGTGACTAACATGTGTTGGTATCAAATGCAACTGTCCCTAAACATAAATTAAATCAGTATGTCAGAATATATTGCCACCAAAATTTTTTGTGAACTTACTATTGCAGAACGCAGCCCAAGCACCATACCAGAACCGGTAAGCCCTGTTGATTGCTATAATAACCATCATGGAATGGCGAAATTGAGTTCAGCTGTCCCTATGATACAAGTAAGAAAATGCATAACCATCCACAATTCTCAAAGAAAATGTTGCCGCTAAAACTACAAGGTTCCATACCACTCCTGGCGTGCCTTCTTGAGAGCCATAATAGCCTTCAAGATTTGGTGCCCTAGACCCTAATTCCTACAGAAAATAACCAGAATAGTCGATATGAAAAATAGAACTAAAATAATACCACAGTAAAATCAGGTCAAGTTTCTTTTGCAATGATTTTGCCTACAATATGTATTTCATACCACCTCTTGCGTGTCCTGCTGAGGAATGTAGCAGTTATCAGTATGGTGTGCCCTAGAGTTAATCTGGTCCTATACACAAAACAAAGTGATGTGAGTTGATACAGACATACAGGAAAATCCACAGTTGTTCAAGGATCAATTTGACACAAGTAAGTTTGAAATAAGCAAACCATCTGCTGGTAGCTTTCTTGCAAACCAATTTTTATACCCCCGGCCTCAGAGTATACCTACAGTACAAAATGAAATCTACTTCACGAGCTTACAATTTCCAACAGTATACAGTCATTATATCTTCAATAGCAACATTCAGCATACCTTTTTTTTCTTGTAAGTTCTCTTTTTCTTTGATGACTTGGTCAAACAGTTATCACAGTTCTCTTCTTCAAAGCCAGGAAAACCAAGAACATCCAATGTGTTAGGCTCTAAGACACTCTTAACAGAGTTATTTAGACCTACACAATTTTCTAAGACTTCCTCTAATGTCCGAACAGCAATATCATAAGCTTCTTTAGATAAAGAACCCTCTTTGCCCAGTTTGATGGCTTGTTTACATAAATCGTTGAAACGTTGTACCCTATAATGAAGACTTTTTGATATCTTATCAACAGCTTGATTAATCTTGGCACCTTTTGTCCACCGCTTCAATATGTAGCGGGATGGTATGTTGGAAACACCAGACATTTGAAGAACAAGGATTGCGTGTTTACACAAGAAACCTCTGTATTCAAAAGAACGACATATACAACAAATATCCATTGTTGATTTGTTCCAAGATACAAGAAAATTCTGACGTTCTTCAAAATCATCAACTCGAAAGTTAATAGTTGTGTCATCTTCACTTTCCTTTTGTAGGTGACATGAAACTACTCCCAAAACCTCAACCTGGAATTTCTTGAAAATGGCATCTGTATATAATGTTGATGCTTGTTTCTCAAAAGATGAGAGAGACCTCAATGCAGGCTGTTTGTTTTGTGTTTCAAATTCAGCTTTGGCTTCCATCTCATACCCGTCCTCCAAAAATGCTTTATATTGCTCCATGAACTCCTTGAATACAGCTTCCCTGTGAATGTACTTGTCAAAAAAAGAGGCAACGCTTCCAGATCGCTCAGTTGTTGACATTCCAGCTAAAGATAAATCTCGTATAAAAGTTGGGACCCATTTTATACGATTTTCATACAATGAGTGAACCCATTCATCCTCCCTTAGTTCAAATCTATCAACCATCTTCCACCATCTCTTTTCAAATTGCTCATCTGTCTGAGACTGATAAATACATTTGTTGAATTTCAACATAAAAATTTCACTTTGATTCATAACAGGAGACAAGTTTTCATGAATCTTACTGAATACATGCCATAAACTATAGTAGTGGCGTGTGTAAGGAAATACATCCACAACAGCTTCATTCAGGAATCTTTCTTGATCAGTAATAATTACTTTTGGAGCTTGGCCACCCACTGCTTTGAGCCATGTGTGCATTAGCCAGAGAAAACTAGATGCAGATTGCTCCCCAATCAATGCACATCCAAGTAACACGAACTGGAAGTGATTATTCACTCCAATAATAGGAACGAAAGGAAGCTTATATTTGCTGCTAACATAAAAGGTGTCAAAGAAGACAACATCACAGAAACTATGATAATCATGTCTGCCTTTTGCATCAATCCAGAACACATTTCTCATACGTTTTTCATGATCCAGATCTATTGCATAAAAGAAGGTCGAATTCTCACCCTGCATGCACATAAAATACTCGAGCATAACTTTTACATCATCCTCATCTAAAGCCAACTGCAAACCTTTCTTCGGACGAGCAACCGCACCTGATTGCTTGTTTCGTCTCCCTGTAGCATTATCATAATCTTCCTTGCAAATCTCATGGTTATGCTCCTTTACAAAACTATATATAACCCATTTCTCATCTTCTGTCCTCTTCATGTGCATTCCTGCCTTGCAAGCTGTCTTTGTACATG